AAGATGTTTATTAAACACTTTTCTACCTTTTTAAGCCAATTTCCAAGAAAATTCGAGTGCAAAAACTCGTTTTGCGTAAAATTCAATAAATTGTAGTAAATTGGCTAAACAGATTGTTCTGAAAATTTGACTCTAATCCTAACTTTTTGCGCTCTTTCTTTTTTCTATTAACACCAAAATCGGTTTCTTTGGACGAAAGTGTCTAAATCGCGTAATCGAGTCGTCGCCCTTCCTTTGGGGTTCGCACCTCCGCACAAAAGTCCAGAAAAAATATTTCCTAAGATTTCAAAGATCTTTTATAGATAAAGATCAGATTTCTCTAATGGAGCAATAGTCAATGGGTGAATTCGTTATTTTTAAATAGCTTTTTAACTGGCATCCAAAGACTTATCAGCCAACCTAATATTTTCGTTAGTCTATCTAGAAGGAAGCTAGACATGTAGGACTGACGAAAACAGGACCACTTTAGACAGTAGTTACTAGATACACCATTTAGTTATTCCTTTTTAATTTTGTTAATCTTGATCCCTTTCATTTTCCACCACCATGCAAACCAACTGACCACGGAAAGCAAAGCGACAACGGGGGCAACGTTGGTGGGTGTTTGTTCGGGTCGAATTGGCAGGCCATTCGGATAAGAGGGAACGGTGGTCACCTTCATCAGCTGTTTAATTTGAGTCAATATTTCTTAAACTTCTACAAGAATACGGTATTTCCTGTAATTGAAACCCATCCCTCTAATAGAGCGTACTCTGGAGAGAGTATGAAAAAATAGAGCCCCATCTCTCTACCCCACCCTCTAATTGTTTCAACCCAAATGCTTCTATTTTTACCGGAATTCAAGTGTGAAAGGGTGCTCGTATGGAGAAAAAAGTAAACGATCTTTAAAGAAACTTTAAATCATTTTCGTCTTTAAGTCATTTTCGAGAAGAAACGGAGAAAAATGAGGAAAACGATGGCTTGGTTGATGCCGATGCTTCAATTGAATTGGTGCAATGCGCTGATGTAGCTTGAAATGGACCATTTAAAGCTCAAATTTGTCAATACTATGAGAATTGGATGTTTTTTGAGACAGCCGACTGGGATGAGATTCCTATTAAACAATTGTTTAAATGATTCAATTGAAGCATCGGCATCAACCAAGCCATCGTTTTCCTCATTTTTCTCCGTTTCTTCTCGTTTCTTTGAAGATTGTTTACTTGTTAAACAATTCTCCGATTATTCAAAAGTTCAAAGATAGGAATCGATCCAAATGGAACTGAAGACGAATTGATACGTTGTTTCAACCCAAATGCTTCTATTTCAACCGGAATTCAAACGTTAAAGGATGCTCGTATGGAGAAAAAAGTAAACGATCTTCAAAGAAACTTTAAATCATTTTGTCATTTTCGTGAAGAAACGGAGGAAAATGAGGGAAACGATGGCTTGGTTGATGCCGATGCTTCAATTGATCTGAGCAATTGTTAATCTTGCTTATTTTGGTTCATTGATTTTTATTTCAGTATTGTTAACTATGTTTAACTTCTTGCCATTGTTATTTAGGTAAAAATTATTTAGAAATTTCCCGACGTTGGCTTTGGTTTGGTTTTGAAGCCCATTGCTTTTTGTTGAAGAGAGTCGCTCGTTTTTGATATGCTGATTGTTGGTTTTGCATATTTTGGATAAGCCTTAATTTTTTACTAGTTGATCATTTTTCGTTTTAGCCCGGGTATGATAAATCTTTTGATTTAGTTTGTTATTTGTGGAAAAATATTTTGAAATTTCCAATGTGGTCATCGTTGTTGCGTTTTGCTTTGAAAATGATGGCAAGGTTTGGGGGGGGGTAAACTAAAGTCTAACCAAATGTATTGCTCTTTCTTGAAGAGAGGTGCTTGAGAAAATAAAGCCCCATGGGGCCCTATCCCTTTAATAGAAGCCCCCTCTAATAGAGCTCCACTCTGGAGGGGGAATGAAAAAATTGTGCCTGATGGGTTCAATTACAGGAAATACGGCAACCTTACTCGGTACTACCTCGGTACAAAATTGCTGATTGTTAAATGGAAATTTTTCAAAAAGCCCAAATTTAACCTTGATCCAAGATGAATTGATTTGAGCGGATATAATGGGACAGTTCTGTTCTTTAAATGGTGTCCAAATATACGTCCAATAGTCGACGATCTCTTGCCGAGTACGATTATAGTCGAGGATTGCTTCGCGTTGCAAAACATCGTAAAATATATCATTGGAGTTATTGGTCATAGCTTTTCAAGATTTTAAATCAAAAGCAAAATTGAGATTTAGCAACTGAGATCAAATTCGTCAGGTCATAAAATACTTTCTAGCTATTCTGGTACAAAATTTTTGCTAATTATTGGGCTCTCTTTTTTGCATGGAAGTCCCTAATCGAATGTGCTCAAATTTTCTCTTCCTTTGAGAATAGAAAATTTGAGAAAGGCCAGTGATTATTTCCTATTTTTGCAACTAAAGGACTTATTAGGTGCTTTTTCTTTAATTTTCTTAATTTCTGTGGCATTTTGTGTTTGATGCTTATGAGCAAAGCTGTTGAGAGTGAGAGTGGGCGTTATCAATGAAAATGAAAGCCTTTGCAGAAGCTCGGTTGCTAATTTTGGTTTAATTTATTGGGTTGGAGAGAATGAAATGGCGCCAAACTTTAAAGACACTTTTTGCACACATAAAGCCTTCTTTAAATATAGGTTTTGTTTCGTCAAAAGGATCCACTATTTCTCTACAAAATAACTTACACTTACAAAATAAGATTCCACAAAGCTTTTCTTTCGTGGAGTTTATGAACTTCCAAAGGCAGCTGATCAAAATGGCAAAGACTCATCTTTTGAACAGTTTCTACCACATAAACCTTCTTTGGTGTCTATGTAAAAAAGATAGAGCACATTTAATTACATAAGTTGCCAAATTTGTAAAGGAAGATCCCACCAATTGTTTTTCCTAGATGGCAGTTTGTAGTTTTTGTGGAAAGATGACCTTTTCTTGAGCTGAGGCCCTGTTTGAGTTTTCTTTTAAATGACATTTTGTAGAGAATTAGTTAACCATTCTACTGATATCAAACGCATATTATTTTACGAAGTCTGCTAGAAGTTTTAGAATTTTTTTGATTTTCGGGGCCGCTTCATTCTCCCCAAACCCATCGTTCATTGCCTACTCTGATCAAACTTTCTCGCCAAGCGGTCGAGGACTACACACGTAAATGTAATAATTTCAGAATTTTAAAGATAGCAGGTAGACCCAACTCTACACTCTGTCAAAAAATTATAGACGCACCCTGTTTTTTGCTAGTTTAGAGCCGGATATAAGTGCTAGTCCAGTGAAAAGTATTTTTTAGTTTCTTTAGTGTAAAAAACAACCCATGCAAAATTTCAAGTCACTTCACTCATCCAAAGTACTTTGTCGTACAAAACACGTTTTATCAGCTGGCAAAAAATTATAGACGCAACTTAAATTTGATGATTTATTCTATCGATAATTGTTAGTTTTTCTCTTTTTTTTTGCTTATTAGTTATGTTTATAAATGTTTTTACATTTTCAGATATGCCACTTGGAAAACAACTGGATGTGGTGGAAAAACCACGTAGATATAGACTGCACTTTATATATCAAAGACTAATAAAATTGTTGGTGCTTTCTTGTTAAAGGGGGGTCCGAATCGCGGTCCATTCTCGAAGATGACTTTTTTGCCCATAATAACAAAGTAGCATTCAAATTGACTTTATTGCATTCAACATAAACGAAAACATCTGGGCATACAAAATTTGATTAATATTTAGTTGATGAACGATAAAATTAAAAAGTTTTCGTGTAAAACGTATTTTTCGAGAAAGGGCCGCGATTCCGACCCTCCCCCCTTTAACAAGAAAGCACCAACAATTTTATTAGTCTTTGATATATAAAGTCCAGTCTAAATCTATTATGTGTGACGAATTTTATCTTTTCTCGAAAAATATTTAATTTTGCTTTGAAAGGCTCAAACCCTCAAATCAAGGGTCACTAAAATAACCAAGCCTTACCCGGATTTGTGGCTTCAGCAATGTTATACAGGTTTTTTACTATTATGGTAACCAGTTTTTGGAAAAAATTTTTTTCAAAACACTTTCTACAGAAAGCAGCATGTATTATATATTATTTAAAAGCTCGAATTCTCAGCATCATTAATACATCAAAGACTTTTTGGCCAGAGCCAATTTTTGAGCCTTACTGGCCTTCGGAAGGCGGCTTGCCGCAGACACCCCACCGCGATCTGCCATTTTTTGTGGTTTTGAATGTAATGAGTTTTTTGAAAACATTGCTTTCAGCCGACTAACCTTTTTCAATTCTTTCGGTTCAAAATAAAGGTAAACGTTAACCGAGCATGTGCAAATTCATTGTTAAAACGGGGTCACAACTTACTGCAAACTACCATTTTGCGGCATATAGGATCTCTGGTTTTTGGATCTCTCGTTATGCTGTTTGAAGCACTTCTAGAGTGTCATTTTAATTTTTAAATAATGAATTAAATTAATTTTGATAAAAACTGTACAAATTTGATCGTATTTCCTATTTTTCCCGAATACACGAGAAAATGATAGTGATCAAATGTGAACGCTTTTCGAGAACTATTTCCCTTTCACACCCGGAGCTTTTCTCATATTTGTCCTTGAGAGAACAGCGTTCCCTTTGGATCCTTGGAAATATGGGAAGCGTGCACTTTCCCTCTTTATGATCAACTTTTTTTGAAAGCGTCGACAAATTTGATTGATGCCTCGATGGATCTACTTCTCGATGAGTTTTTTTTACTGGAACTTTTCTAGCAGTTGATTGGAACCAAGTGCCGGTTCCAAAAATACAGACCTCTTCAAAGTATTTGCTTTTTTGTGTCTCGATATTGGACGAAATTTGAAATTCGAACGTGGTAAATTGTGTTTTCTCTGTGATGAGCCAGGATGAATATTAAAAAAAATTTATCTGGATTATCTGATTATCTCGATAATGCAAAAGTTCTTGAGAGTTTATACAGGGCACTTGCATCGAAGTGGCTGCCCGATATCAGCGACAAGAGTGCAGTGCTTGTCGAACATCTCCTCGTGGGTGCATTCACGTTCTGAAAAAGCATGAGAATTTTATGTGCTTAGATTCCAGCGTAAATAAGTGGCTTACTTCAAATTAGCGGATCCAGAAAAACAGAAAAACAATTTAGTATCAGTTTTTAAATGTAATTCCGGAAAAATGAATACTTTTTTGGAGAAAAATTGGAGTTGTGAAAATGAAACGGTCAAAGAATGAAAATCATAACTTTTCTTTAAAAAAGGCCTTGAAATCTCTTCTCATTCTACACCTATCTCTTATCTTTTCCGAGTATATTTAGAGAAAATGGGCAAAAACCAAATCAACAACCCCTTTCCCTGTGTTTTGACCCCAGAGAAACATTGGGACTTGTGAATTGTGACTAGCACAATTTGGAGTTTAGAAAACACATCTATGTCTGACAAATAAATAAAGATTATAATTTGATAGCTTAATTAAGCTTTAAGATTTTAGAAGTCATAGTAAGCAGCAATGTTCTTTCTAAAACGTGGATCCTGCAGCGAAGATATGGTATTTTTTAGACCTATGTCTATCTAATGAGTTCGTCTATCTATCTAACTAACCCTCGACAGTGGTCTTCGCTTCTTCCTCGGCATCGGGAGCACGTCGCACACGGCTAAACTTTTTGATTCCACTTTTTCCAAATGATTCAACATACTTTAAGACTTTATGTTTTGTTGGTGTTAAACTACAAACCAATCACTAGAAACTCTAAGTTACGCTCACCCTTCGGAGCAGGTGCACGACTTTTTGTCAGGTCCGAAGTCGTTGGGCGCCTCGGTGCATCCCTCTTTCAACTCTTCAGCCGTACACTTACGGACTGAAATAAGTGGTAATGTACGAGGGGTAAATTACTGCAATTATCTGTTTTTTATAGTAATTAATACGCTTCTAAGATACAAAAGCTGCAAATAGACTTTAGCTTTAGTAACATAGTATCCTTCTCTAAAAGTTCAAAGAGTTCAACCACGCACCCGATGCGGTCACTGTCTTTATTACAGTCTTGACTGTGTCCGTGTCACGGCGCACTCGCTCCTCGGAGGAGCGATCTGGCCTAAAGTAAAGTTTGGTACTAGTTTAAAGTGTTTTTACTACTATTTTCATTTTTACCCACAAAGTTAACCATTTTTATTGGATATCCCTACTCACATCATGTTCAACCACTCACTCGATGTGATCACTGTCTTGACGGTGTCCGTGTCACCTCGCACACGGCTAAACTTTTTGATTCCACTTTTTCCAAATGATTCAACATACTTTAAGAGTTTACGTTTTGTTGGTGTTAAACTACAAGCCAATCTTTAGAAACTCTAAGTTACGCTCACCCTTTGATGCAGGTGCACAACTTTCTGTCAGGTCCGATGTCGTTGGGCGCCTCGGTGCATCCCGCAGTCAACTCGTCAGCCGTACACTTACGAGCTGAAATAAGTGGTAATGTACGGGGGGTAAATTACTGCAATTATCTGTTTTTTATAGTATTTTTTATAATACGCTTCTAAGATACAAAAGCTACAAATAGACTTTAGCTTTAGTAACATAGTATCCTTCTCTAAAAGTTCAAAGTTCAAAAAGTTCAACCACTCACTCGATGCGGTCACTGTCTTTATTACAGTCTTGACTGTGTCCGTGTCACGGCGGTCCACGGAGTCGCGATCTGGCCTAAAGTAAAGTTTGGTACTAGTTTAAAGTGTTTTTACTACTATTTTCATTTTTACCCACAAAGTTAACCATTTTTATTGGATATCCCCTACTCACATGGCCGTGACGACAGCGAGGAGCACGAGACAGATGGTGGAGCTCACCGAGAAGAAGGCCATGTTCTAAAAGTAAGAGCTGAAGACCAGCAGAAGCTCAAAACAAAGCCAAATACTCAATAAACAAAAATCTTTTAATTTTAATATAAGAATAAGTTCAAATATTTAGCAAAAGCAAGAGCATAAGTAAAGAGGTAAACTGGACCATTTAACCACAAGAAAATTCTAGTTTTCACAGCTTAGAAAAGCAATTTGTTGCGTCCTTGCTCTATCACTGAAAGTTTTTCTTAGTTTTCTCTAACTTATCTTTTAACCCTTGATACCAGGAGGTGCTTTTTCCTTACCTATCCCTCTGAAAAATCAGCCGTTCCACTCCGATCTCTTTTGTGCCTTTGCCTTTTTATAAATGGTTATTCGAGAAACCTTGAGATCCACCTGTATCCGATAAATCTTGAACTTTTTTCGAAATGTAAAAACGTTTCAGCGATTTCTGTAATGAGCGCTTCTATTGCTAGGAAGTAAATAGAAAAAGTGATTTTTGATTATTCCCAATCCAAAGGACAAGAGTCGATGAAAAGAATTTCTGGTGCTTCAAATTTTGATCGTGTGTTCTTTGTGGATCTTATAACCTAGACTTGCGAATAAATATATTGTTAAAACCGTCTTCTAAATGGGAACTAAGCGACCAAAACAAAGCTATTTTTGCTACCATTCGATTCAGAATCGTTCAAGGTGGAATGGGTAAAGCTCGGGCTTGCTTTACAACTTGGCACACTTAAAAAAAGTCAATAGTCTCTTCGTAGCACCAAGGGTGAATGGAAAATGGAAAAGCGCGCAAGAAAAAAGCATAAAAGAAAGAGAAAATTTTGGCAAGAAAAATCTCCACAATCGGAAAAATCTCTAATTTTTGAATTCAATAGTGGATCTTTAAAAAATGACTCTAAACACGAGATTAAAAACGGACACTTAGCGGATAGCAAGGTTTTAAAATTCAAAACTTAAACAAATCTAACGATAAGTTACCGCAAATATCGTAATTGAAGGGCATGCTTTTCTATTTTTTTCATACCCCTTTCTATGGTGCCCTTATATTAGAGGGTGCTCTTCAATTACAGTATTTACGGCATTTACGGTATCTTTGTTTCCTTGCTAGCTTTGATTCTTGATATACTTTTGTCATTTCCCTTCCGGGAATTTCAATTCAACGTGTATTTACGTGTAAAAATTTTTTTTCTCTTTCTTCTCTTCTTTTTTCTTTGTCGCTTTTCCATTTTCCATGCACCCACCCCTTGGTGCTACGAAGAAACCATTGACTTTTTTTGAAGTGCGCCAAGTTGCAAAGGAAGCCCGAGCTTTACCCATTCCACCTCGAACGATTCTGAATCGAATGGTAGCAAAAATAGCTTTGTTTTGGACGCTTAGTTCACATTTTGAGGACGGTCTGCATAATATATTTATTCGGAAGCCTAGGTTATAAGATACACAAAGAATACACGAACGAAATTTGAAGCACCAGAAATTCTTTTCATCAACTCTTGTCCTTTGGATTGGGAATAATCAAAAATCACTTTTTCTATTTACTTCCTAGCAATAGAAGCGCTCATTACAGAAATCGCTGAAACGTTTTTACATTTCGAAAAAAGTTCAAGATTTATCGGATACAGGTGGATCTCAAGGTTTCTCGAATAACCATTTATAAAAAGGCAAAGGCACAAAAGAGCCGGAGTGGAACGGCAGATTTTTCTGAGGGATAGGACAGGAAAAAGCACTTCCTGTTATCAAGGGTTAAAAGAGAAGTTCTGGGTGGCTATCTAAGCTAACGGCCTAGAGCCAGAGGTTCAAAGGCATCGTATTCGACTGAATGATCTACGGCTTGGAGAAAGGTGTTTGCTGCTTAGTGCCCTAAAACTAAGAAAAACTTGCAGTGATAGGGCAATCACGCAACAAATTGCTTTTCTAAGCTGTGGAAACTAGAATTTTCTTGTGGTTAAATGGTCCAGTTTGCCTCTTTACTTATGCTCTTGCTTTTGCTAAATATTTGAACTTATTCTTATATTAAAATTAAAAGATTTCTGTTTATTGAGTATTTTGGCTTTGTTTTGAGCTTCTGCTGGTCTTCAGCTCTTACTTTTAGAACATGGGCTTCTTCTCGGTGAGCTCCACCATCTGTCTCGTGCTCCTCGCTGTCGTCACGGCCATGTGAGTAGGGGATATCAAATAAGAATGGTTGAATTAGGGGGTAAAAATTAAAATACTAGTAAAAACACTTTAAACTAGTACCAACTTTACTTTAGGCCAGATCGCGACTCCGTGGACCGAGTGCGCCGTGACACCGTCAAGACTGTAGTAAAGTCAGTGAGCGTAATGAGTGAGTGGCTGAACTTTTTGAACTTTGAGAGAAGGGTACTATGTTACTAAACCTAAAGTCTGTTTGTAGCTCCTGTATCTTAGAAGCCTATTAATTACTATAAAATACAGATAATTGCAGATATTTCCCCCCTGTACATTACCACTTATTTCAGTCCGTAAGTGTACGGCTGACGAGTTGACTGCGGGATGCACCGAGGCGCCCAACGACTTCGGACCTGACAAAAAGTCGTGCACCTGCACCAAAGGGTGAGCGTAACTTAGAGTTTCTAGAGATTGGTTTGTAGTTTAACACCAACCAAACATAAAGTCTTAAAGTATGTTGAATCATTTGGAAAAATTGGAATCAAAAAGTTTAGCCCTGTGCGCCGCGACACGGACACCGTCAAGACTGTAGTAAAGACAGTGACCGCCTCGAGTGAGTGGTTGAACTTTTTGAACTTTGATTTTTAGAGAAGAATACTATTGGGTTGGGGAGAGTGAGTCGGCGCCGAAAATCAAAAAAATGTCTAAAACTTCTATTCGACTTCGTCAAATAATATGCGTTTGATATCAGTAGAATGGTTAGCTAATTCTCTACAAAATGACATTTAAAAGAAAATTCAAACATTCAAACCTCCTCTCAAGAAAAGGCCACTTTTTCACAAAAACCACAAACTGTCATCTAGAAAAACCATTGGTGGGATCTTCCTGCAAATTTGGCAACTTAAGTAATTGAATGTGCTCTATCTTTTTTATATAAACACCAAAGAAGGTTTATGTGAAAGAAACTGTTCAAATGATGAGTCGGACTCTTTGCCATTTTAACCAGCTGCGTTTGGAAGTTCATAAACTCCACGAAAGAAAAGCTTTGTGGAATCTCTCAAAAGTCATTTTGTAGAGAAATAGTGGATCCTTTTGATGAAACCAAACGTATGTTTAAAGAAGGCTTTATGTGTGCAAAAAGTCCCTTTAAAGTTTGGCGCCGACTCATTCTCCCCAAACCAATATGTTACTAAGGCTAAAGTCTGTTTGCAGCTTCTGTATCTTAAAAGCGTATTATTTACTATAAATTAGATAATTGCAGTAATTTATCCCCAGTACATTACCACTTATTTCAGTCCGTAAGTGTACGGCTGACGAGTTGACTGCGGGATGCACCGAGGCGCCCAACGACTTCGGACCTGACAAAAAGTCGTGCACCTGCTCCGAAGGGTGAGCGTAACTTAGATTTTCTAGTGATTGGTTTATAGTTTAACACCAACAAAACATAAAGTCTTAAAGTATGTTGAATCATTTGGAAAAAGTGGAATCAAAAAGTTTAGCCGTGTGCGACGTGCTCCCGATGCCGAGGAAGAAGCGAAGACCACTGTCGAGGGTTAGTTAGATAGATAGACGAACTCATTAGATAGACATAGGTCTAAAAAATTCCATATCTTCGCTGCAGGATCCATGTTTTAGAAAGAACATTACGGTGTATGAGAAGAGATTTCAAGGTCTTTTTTAAAGAAAAGTTATCATTTTCATTCTTTGACCTTTCATCTTCATAACTCCAATGTTTCTCCAAAAAAGTATTCAATTTTCCGGAATTACATTTAAAAACTGATACGAAATTGTTTTTCTATACCGTGGATCTAGTAAGTTGAAGTAAGCCAATTATTTACGCTGAAATCTAAGCACATAAAATTCTCATTCTTTTTCAGAACGTGAATGCACCCACGAGGAGATGTTCGACAAGCACTGCACCCTTGTCGCTGATATCGGGCAGCCACTTCGATGCAAGTGCCCTGTATAAACTCTGAAGAACTTTTGCATTATCGAGACAATCAGATAATCCAGATAAATGAGAATATAATATCTTGTTTATGTATCGATTTTGCAAATAAATCTTTGGCTATACTTGATTTTTTGGAACAAACACTCAAAAGTTGATCATAGTCTCTTAAAGTGAAGTTGATTTTTTTTAATATTCATCCTGGCTCATCACAGAGAAAACACAATTTACCACGTTCGAATTTCAAATTTCGTCCAATATCGAGACACAAAAAAGCAAATACTTTGAAGAGGTCTGTATTTTTGGAACCGGCACTTGGTTCCAATCAACTGCTAGAAAAGTTCCAGTAAAAAAAACTCATCGAGAAGTAGATCCATCGAGGCATCAATCAAATTTGTCGACGCTTTCAAAAAAAGTTGATCATAAAGAGGGAAAGTGCACGCTTCCCATATTTCCAAGGATCCAAAGGGAACGCTGTTCTCTCAAGGACAAATATGAGAAAAGCTCCGGGTGTGAAAGGGAAATAGTTCTCGAAAAGCGTTCACATTTGATGACTTAACAACGAAAAGATCGGATCGATGAATAAATATTCTAAATAAAGTCTAATGATTTTTAATCCTAGTTCTATTAAAAAACATACAATTCATTGAAAGCAGTCTTTGAAATCATTGCATTAGTTAATTTGAATCGATTCATTGTTATAGGGCTCAAAAATGTAAGCAAAAATACTCTTTCAAAGTACATAGGGCGAGATCGGAAAACCCAGATTCACTAAAACTAACGCCCCGAAAAACTTTTGGCACCTGCTCATTAATGAGAAGAGAATCTTATTGAAATGAAAGACCATATATACGAGTATCTCAAATATCTGTATCCAAAAAAGCAGCTGTATAATAGAATATTGAGTTAGTAAGGGTGAGAAGTGAGGAGATAATCATCTTTAATAACATTATTCAGATTTTGGAATGTTGAAACTGGTCACTCTTTTGGTCACTTTCTAAAAATACCGTATTCGGTTTCAGGATCCACGGTTTGGAAAACCCGTTTGCAGCGTAACTGTTCTATGATTGAAAGTTTTTTTTTAGCTTCAAGGCAACCACGCAGCAAACACCTGCTCTAAACCGTGGATCAGGCGGTCGGATACGGTTTTTTTAGAACACTGATGAGCAATAAAAGCTAAATTCTTCAAAAACCTGCGTCATCAACAGCCTCTCAGCGCGGGAGACTTCTCCGGTCTTCTTCAGCTATAATATACAATCAGTCAATGGTTCTTGACCTATGATACCGCTTTCATTTTTCTTTGCGTCATCAAATCTAGTAATCACATCAAAAATTGAAAGAAAAGGATTGCATAATAATCGATCGGGTAAAAGCCCACTGAATAGAAATTCACAAATAACAGCTTTACTGGGGCCAGGCCAATCCTCAGAACCAATGAAATTAACAATTGAAACAACGGCCATTTGCGAGTGAATCGAAATAATCGGTCATCAAAGGATACAGCCATGAAACGGCTCATTGCAATCATTGTCTGATAGTATTGTGTTATATCGAAAAAGCTAAAGTAGTGAGTTATATAGTAGTAGATATCCGAGTAGGTCTCTGCACAGGGCAAAGTACAGTCTATATCTATTATTTGTGACGAATTTTTTCTTTTGTCGAAAAATATTTAATTTTGCTTGGGAAGGCTCAAACCCTCAAATCAAGGGCCACTAAAATGACCAAGCCTTACCCGGATTTATGGCTTCAGGCAGAATACAGGGTTTTTTACAATTATGGTAACCAGTTTTTGGAAAGTCATTCTTTTCCAAAACACTTTCTACAGAAAGCAGCATGTATTATATATTATTTCAAAGCTCTAATTCCCAGCATCATTAATACATTAAAGACTTTTTGGCCAGAGCTAATTTTTGAGCCTTACTGGCCTTCGGAATGGGCTCGCCCCGCGGACACCCCAGCGCGATCTGCCATTTTTCGTGGTTTTGAATTTAAGGAGTTTTTTGAAAAAATTGTTTTCAGCTAACTATCCTTTTTCAATTCTTTCGGTTCAAAATAAAGGTAAACGTTAACCGAGTATGTCCAAATTCATTGTTGAAACGGGGTCCTAACTTACTGCAAACTACCATTTTGCGTCGAGTAGGATCTCTGGTTTTGGGATCTCTGGTTATGCTGTTTGAAGCACTTCTCGAGTGTCATTTTGATTTTTAAATATTGAATTAAATTAATTTTGATAAAAAATGGACAAATTCGATCGTATTTCCTATTTTTCCCGAATACACGAGAAAATGATAGTGATCAAATGTGAACGCTTTTCGAGAACTATTTCCCTTTCACACCCGGAGCTTTTCTCATATATGTCCTTGAGAGAACAGCGTTCCCTTTGGATCCTTGGAAATATGGGAAACGTGCGCTTTCCCTCTTTATGGTCAAATTTTTTTTGAAAGCGTCGACAAATTTGATTGATGCCTCGATGGATCTACTTCTCGATGAGTTTTTTTACTGAAACTTTTCTAGCAGTTGATTAGAACCAAGTGCCGGTTACAAAAATACAGACCTCTTCAAAGTATTTGCTTTTTTGTGTCTCGATATTGGACGAAATTTGAAATTCGAACGTGGTAAATTGTGTTTTCTCTGTGATGAGCCAGGATGAATATTAAAAAAAATCAACTTCACTTTAAGAGACTATGATCAACTTTTGAGTGTTTGTTCCAAAAAATCAAGTATAGCCAAAGATTTATTTGCAAAATCGATACACAAACAAGATATTATATTCTCACTTATCTGGATTATCTGATTATTTCGATAATGCAAAAGTTCTTGAGAGTTTATACAGGGCACTTGCAGCGAAGTGGCTGCCCGATATCAGCGACAAGAGTGCAGTGCTTGTCGAACATCTCCTCATGGGTGCATCCACGTTCTGAAAAAGAATGAGCATTTTATGTGCTTAAATTTCAGCGTAAATAATTGGCTTACTTCAAATTAGCAGATCCACGGTATAGAAAAACAATTTAGTATCAGCTTTTAAATGTAATTCCGGAAATTGAATACTTTTTGAGGAGAAACATCGGAGTTATGAAGATGAAAGGTCAAAGAATGAAAATGATAACTTTTCTTTCAAAAAAGACCTTGAAATCTCTTCTCATTCTACACCTATCTTTTTCGAGTATATTTAGAGAAAAGGGGCACGAGCCAAATCAACAACCCTTTTCCCTGTGTTTTGACCCCAGAGAAACATTGGGACTTGTGAATTGTGACTAGCACAATTTGGAGTTTAGAAAACACATCTATGTCTGACAAATAAATAAAGATTATAATTTGATAGCTTAATTAAGCTTTAAGATTTTAGAAGTCATAGTAAGCAGCTACACAGCAATGTTCTTTCTAAAACGTGGATCCTGCAGCGAAGATATGGAATTTTTTAGACCTTTGTCAATCTAATGAGTTCGTCTATCTATCTAACTAACCCTCGACAGTGGTCTTCGCTTCTTCCTCGGCATCGGGAGCACGTCGCACACGGCTAAACTTTTTGATTCCACTTTTTCCAAATGATTCAAAATACTTTAAGAGTTTACGTTTTGTTGGTGTTAAACTACAAACCAATCACTAGAAACTCTAAGTTACGCTCACCCTACGGAGCAGGTGCACGACTTTTTGTCAGGTCCGAAGTCGTTGGGCGCCTCGGTGCATCCCGCAGTCAGCTCTTCAGCCGTACACTTACGGACTGAAATAAGTGGTAATGTACGGGGGGTAAATTACTGCAATTATCTGTTTTTATAGTAATTAATACGCTTCGAAGCTACAGAAGCTACAAACAGCCTTTAGCTTTAGTGGCATAGTATCCTTCTCTAAAAGTCAAAGTTCAAAAAGTTCAACCACTCACTCGATGCGGTCACTGTCTTGACTACAGTCGTGACGGTGTCGCGGCTCACTCGGTCCACGGAGTCGCGATCTGGCCTAAAGTAAGGTTTGGTACTAGTTTAAAGTGTTTTTACTAATATTTTCATTTTTGCACACTCATTCAACCATTTTTATTTGATATCCCCGACTCACATGGCCGTGACGACAGCGAGGAGCACGAGACAGATGGTGGAGCTCACCGAGAAGAAGGCCATGTTCTAAAAGTAAGAGCTGAAGACCAGCAGAAGCTCAAAACAAAGCCAAATACTCAATAAACAAAAATCTTTCAATTTTAATATAAGAATATTAAAGATTTAGCAAAAGCAAGAGCATAATTAAAGAGGTAAATTGGATCATTTAGCCACAAGAAAATTCTAGTTTCCACAGCTTAGAAAAGCAATTTGTTGCGTGATTGCCCTATCACTGCAAGTTTTTCTTAGTTTTAGGGCACCAAGCAGCAAACACCTTTCTCCAAGCCGTAGATCATTCAGTCGAATACGATGCCTTTGAACCTCTGGCTCTAGGCCGTAGCCTAAGCCACCCAGAACTTCTCTTTTAACCCTTGATACCAGGAAGTGCTTTTTCCTGTCCTATCCCTCAGAAAAATCTGCCGTTCCACTCCGGCTCTTTTGTGCCTTTGCATTTTTATAAATGGTTACTCGAGAAACCTTGAGATCTACTTGATATCCACCTGTATCCGATAAATCTTGAACTGGTAAAAACGTAAGAAATGTAAAAACGTTTCAGCGATTTCTGTAATGAGCGCTTCTATTGCTAGGAAGTAAATAGAAAAAGTGATTTTTGATTATTCCCAATCCAAAGGACAAGAGTTGATGAAACGAATTGATGAAAAGGGAAGTGACAAAAGTATATCAAGAATCAAAGCTAGCAAGGAAACAAAGATACCGTAAATGCCGTAAATACTGTAATTGAAGAGCACCCTCTAATAGAAGGGCACCATAGAGGGGGTAGGAAAACAAGAATAAAACAAGGGTCGACTTTTTCTCGAGTCATTTTGCCTTGTTTGTTTTGTTTAAGTCTAATCATTTATCACGTTTATGCCAATGTACAGGAAAGAGAATAAACCAACGAAGAGAATCATCTTAGAAATAAAAAAAACACAACGATTTCACTTTTCAATCCGCTATCTCATCAAAAAATCGAGACCGAGTCGAATATATTTTTCGCTTAAAGCAGTGATGTCTCTAATTTTTGAATTCAATAGTGGAGCTTTAAAAATGGCTCTAAACATGACATTGAAGGCGGACACTAAGCGGATAGGAAAGTTTTAAAATTCAAAACAAATTTAACGATAAGTTACCGTAAATATTGTAATTGAAGGGCATGCTTTTCTATTTTTTTCATACCCCTTTCTAGGGTGTTCTTCTATTAAAGAGTGCCCTTCTAATTTTAACATATCATTGTAACGTCTTAGGTTACCAAAACCGCATTAGAAAAGCTCCGGGTGTGAAAGGGATTTCCCTTTCACAGGGAGTTCTCGAAAAGCGTTAAACATTGAAAATCACTTAACAATCAACATCACTTAACAATCAACATCACTTAACAACGAAAAGATGGGATCGATGAATAAATATTATAAAGTCTAATGATTGTTAGTCCAAGTTCTATTAGAAAACATTCAATTCATTGAGAACAGTCTTTGAAATCGTTGAATACTTCATTTAATTCAATTCATTGATATAAAGCTCAAAAATGTAAGTATAGACTCAAAACTACTCTTACAAAGTACATAGATCGGAGATCGGAAAACCCAGATTCACTAAAACTAAAGCCCCGAAAAACTAAAAACAAACTGATTTAGATGTCTAGGCATTTTTCGGTTGCAAAAACCTGCAGCATTGATCGAATTTGTTAAAGGGGTTCGATTGATTTTGTGAGAACATCAGCAATATTTGTGTTTATATTTTAAAAAATGAGAAAACGCACTAAAATCAAAATGATTAACACTGACAATCTTAGAAATAATATTCACAACAATTTATTATTATTTTTTCTCTTTTGAAGGAATAAAGCAGTTGTTATGCTGAAAATGCAAATTTTGGGCGGAAAAAAAGGAAACTTGGCACCTGCTCATTAATGAGAAGAGAACCTTATTGAACGACTATATACACGAGTATCTCAAATATCTGTATCCCAAAAAAGCAGCTGTATAATAGCATATTGAGTTATTAAGGGTGAGAAGTGAGGAGATAATCATCTTTAGTAACATTATTCAGATTTTGGAATGTTGAACTGGTCACTCTTTTGGTCACTTTCTAAAATTACCGTATTCGGTTCCAGGATCCATGGTTTGGAAAACCCGTTTGCTGCGTAACTGTTCTATTATTGCAAGTTTTTTTAGCTGCAAGGCAACCACGCAACAAACACCTGCTCTAAACCGTGGATCAGGTGGTCGGATACGGTTTTTTTAGAACACTGATGAGCAATGAAAGCTAAATTCTTCAAAAACCTGCGTCATCAAAAGCCTCTCAGCGCGGGAGACTTCTCCGGTCCTCTTCAGCTATAATATCCAATCAGTCAATGGTTCTTGACCTATGATACCGCTTTCATTTTTCTCTGCGTCATCAAATCTAGTGAGCACATCAAAAATTGAAAGAAAAGAATTGCATAATAATCGATCGGGTCAAAGCCCACTGAATAGAAATTCACAAATAACAGCCTTACTTAGGCCAGGCCAATCCCCAGAACCAATGAAATCAACAATTGAAGCAACGGCCATTTGCGAGTGAATCGAAACAATCGGCCATCAAAGGATACAGCCATGAACCGGCTCATTGAAATCATTGTCTGATAGTATTGTGTTATCTAGCTAAAGTAATGAGTTATATAGTAGTAGATATCCTAGTAAGTCTCTGCATGTTGCTTCTTGTGCAGCAAAGCTCTCGAGAAATCGCAGACCCATGGAAATGTGTAACTGTCGAGAAGATTAGCTTTGAAATACCTTCAGCGACGGCCAACAGACTAAAAGGATTTTCATTTGTGGGATATTTCAAGTGTGAGACATAAATCTTCATACATCTCACGCCCGAATCGAAACTAGCAGTTCCGAACTAGACGTCTAAATCCGAACTAAAAGTGGCCATTGGGAATCCCCTAAGCGTACGCCTAGTCGACCAATGGCAGTTCGGGCATTCGATTTGAAACTGTCGGTTAATTTAAGCTCGGACATATCATAAATACCAACAGAAAAGTCGACTGGCATGCTTTGTTATCGTTCATTATCTATTTTGATGAAGATTTTGACGATCTATTTTGACATTTCGGAGAAACATTTGTGTTTGAGACTAACTGATTGAATAGGAATAATTAACTGCATTTATCTCTTCTAAAGCACTAGCCAAATTGGCAGGGTCAATCAATTGTTTGCTGCCGGGAAATAAATGGCAAACGGAGACATGAGAATACTCAAAGCAGTCATCTATAAAACATTTGCTATTTACAGATTCAATGTACTATCATATTTGCTAGAAACACACCACATAGCTAGCTGTTAGAACACAGCCCGTTATTCGTTTCGCAAGCAAGGTTTACCTATAAAAGGTGCGAAATGAACGGAGCCAAAAAATTCTGCGACGAGGTCGGAACTTTTGTAACTTCATTCGATACGGAAAAAGAATTAGGCTGAAGAAATTAACTCGATGTTTTTTTGAAAAAAACGGTACTTATCGATAACAAACTAATATATATTGTGCAGCTTTTTCATTTTGACATATCGGCTACACTGATCATCTTAAAATTAGCATAGCAAACTAAATCTACGAATAAAAGATAAACAAATAATCTAAACTACATAAGCTTACATACCAGACTTTGTTAGTTTTACTACTAATAAGGTCATCCTTTATGTCGGTTCTGTAGCTCAATGCAATTTTTGTTTGATTGCGATTGGTTGTTTATTTTATTCAAAGAATCATCACAATCATCCTGTTTAAATGTATGGCAGCAGTAGGCTTGGAAAGAGATTGTACAATAATAAAGTAACAATAGTAAAAAGTAAAAGTTGTGCATTGAAAATTAATCATTGAAACATTTTTCAATGGAAAAGATTCGAATAAAGTGATATTAAAGTCAAAATAGATGTTGTTAATTGAAATTTCAAAGAATTCAGAAGTTTTCACCAAACTTTTGCCATCAATGTTATGATTAAATAAAGCGGTGCCAAAGTAGAGCTTTAGTTTTTGCTTTTGATAGGATCAATAAACATTATTGTTGTGGTTAGATCTGAAAACGGTTATAAAGCTTTAACATCAAATGAATTCAGTCGAAAAGATCTCAGGTCAAGTCATAAGTCTTGATAACAGTTAACCATATTTTCCTTTAGAAATAAAAAACTAAATAATCAACTTGCGATTTGTTTTATCAAAAGTTATCTCTTGTTTATTTTAGCGCACTTTTAAGCAAATTCGGACTCACTTAGAAGAAAATTAGAGTAAAAAGCCTTATCCTACAATTAGAATAAGGATTTCTACTAGTTATACAGGATTTCTAGTTTCTACTCTACAATTAGTATCTTATCATTCTTAAATTAAGCATATACAGAAAGCGTCTGACCAAATCAAGCTGACTGAATCAAAATTTTGGCTATTTGCTTAACTTTTCATGCTCTATTCTTTTTATTGACACCAGAATAGGTTTCTGCTGCAGAAAGTGGTCAAATCGCAACTTCAGTTTGGTTTCATTTTTGGGTACCCAATTTCTTGTCTCATAAACAAACTACAAATAAGAGCTTTTTATAAAATTTTATTGAGCATTTTGTTAAAGGCCAATAAGGCTTCTGATAAAATAAACCGCCAGTCGATTGGTTGATTATTCATTGAGAAAAGTGAATTTGATAAAGTGTTATCACTCATAACTTGACCTAATACTTATTAAGTAGAGTAAAAACCTAGTTGTGAATAGTTTTTGGTTATGAAACTAGATTTGCTTTTTGTCTTGTACTTTTTGCCCAAAATCTAAACGCTCTCTTTTTGGCAGAGTGCATGGTTGCTTTTGCTCAATGGACTTCAAAAATCAATGAAAACAGCACAAGAAAACAAACAGCCAATTAGAAAGTGTGCGTTTACGCTTTTGAATACAAAGTACGCCTCAAAGAACAGCCTCAAAGAACAAGTCTTTGAATGCGAATTAACCTGAATCAGTGCAATTTGGCGATTCCACAAATGATTAGTGTGAGGATGACGATAACCAAGAACAGTGGAGCCACGATTAGACACAAAATACAGAGAATATTTGGTGGACAACATCGGATTCCTTCAAGGCTGAGCGGACTTCTGAAAAGTGTTAGTGATATTTGATAACACTGGTTTTCTCGTACCACACTTCTTACTAAAATGGATCATTTGCCACTCAATGAGGTAGTTAGAGCTAACTCGTGAAGATTAGTCTCACAAGCACAACCATTTTTTCAAAAGATCTCTTATCCCAATTTTTCCATCAAACGTTATTAGTAAGAAAATCAAGGCAGCGATTAGCAAAATTGCAAGTGAAATCGGAATGCACACTGAGAAAAAGAATTTCAACTTCCAGCGTGGGTATTCGTCACCGAAATAGTATGAGGTACGATCGTGAAGTCTAAAGTTTAGTAAGTAAAGAAGTCTGGTAGTAAAGAAGTGATGAATTTGACAAGAAAAAGTAGACTTTAGGAGCGGGGATTGAACCCTCGATCTTTCATCGAGAATTGGCGATCTTTCATTGACAATTAGCAATTGCTCAAACCACTGAGCTATCCGTTACCTTAACTTGACAAGAAAAAGAAGGAAATACAAAAGGGAACAAGAAAGGAAGAAGAAAGGAAGAAGAAAGGAAGAAAGAAAGAAGGAAATGCCGGGTCTTCAGAACCGTGAGCTTCCGCCCTACTTGAAAATCAGAACCACGTGTATTAGTAATAAAGAAGCAAAGGAATTGGTAAGAAAAAGTAGATTTCAGGAGTGGGGATTGAATCCTAGGAGTAAATGTAACGTAGCTCATTCTAAAGCTTCAATAGCCTTGCAAATGTAATTGATAAAGTTTACAGCTTACTCCTACACCTGTTACTTATCTAATACAAGCAGCTTACTGTAAAGTTGCTCACTTCAGCTTGGTTTACTTGCTCAAAAGTTTGTCTTTTCCAGGAATCTGGTTGTGAACTGCATAGACTTGCTAACAAAACCAGTACAGTATTTATTAGGTTAAGCACTAAGTCTTCCACCTTTTACCCTTCCACCTATATTTTCCTAGGCTATGGCTCACAGAACCACGTGACTCTTAGGTTATCGCCTAATTCTCCCGGCTCTATTCTCCTAAGAATCTTAGTGACAAAAAAAGTCACGGGAATCTATAATATAATAGTGACTTTATTGTCACTGAGATTCCTGTGACTTTCCTGTCACTAAGATTTTAAGCCGAATGCGCACTCTGCCGTTCCAGAGATTTTTAAACATCTTCTTAGTATTTTAGAATAATCTGCGAGAACGAAAACTGGCATTTTTTTAAACATTGAAAAGAAAAACGCTAAACGAACACATAAAGAAAACCGCTAAACGGATTACTCTGAAAATTTGGTTGTAAACCTAACTTTTTGTGCGCTATCTTTTTTATTTTGTCATTAAAATAGGTTACATTGGTAAAACGGGCCAAATCGCATCATCCGATCTTATCTTTTTTGAACACACGGCTTCTTGCTAATGAAAAACCTTCAAAATAAAGCTTTTCAGAAACTTTTAAAAGTTATTTGCAAGAGAAATGATTGGGCTATCTAATGAAAAAACCGTATTTCATTTGGTAGCTTGAGAATTATTTAATTTGAAAATGAATCTGGGTGAAAGATTTAGTATTAAACCTAATAGTTTGTCAGCTCGTTTCGAGAAGATCTAATGCTGTTCGACTTTCGAATTCTACACCTCCTACCTCTTGGCAACATTTTTCCTTCGATTCGCTTCAGCGTCTCTTTTCGGTGGTTGTGCCCAAGGGTTTTCAACTTGAAGTAAACGATTTCTTTCGGGGTCTAAAAATGGGGATAGCCGTGCTTTTTTATAGGGTGGCCCATAACATGTGTTACACCTTAGATGAAGGCAAATTAAGCCTAAGATATGTCGGATTGCTTGAAGTTTGTTATGATTTCATTTTCATAACATTTTTACACTTATATTTCAATTTTTAGCACAATCGATCGGCTATAAGAAAAATTAGGGTCATTAGAAGCTTCGTAAATAAAAGCGTCCTAATTTTTCTTATAGCCGACAGATTGAGCTAAAAATTGGAATATAAGTGTAAAAATGTTCTAAAAATGAAATTATAACAAACTTTTAAGTAATCTGACACATTTTTGACTTAATTTGCCTTCATTCATAAGACGTAACACATGTTATGGGTCACCCTGTACATAGTGCTGAAGCTAGGGTAGACAAAAGGTTTACCTTTTGATTGATCCTGGTATTCAGGATAGGTTCGATTCAAATCTGAGTTTGGATTTAACTATTTTAAAGGGAACTTGATTCCTACCATGATTTGTGGGGCTTCTAGGATCGTTGTGTGGGCTGAGATCGGGTGAGTGGCCTTGTCTTCTCTCGTGCACTCGCGTCGTTGTCGTTGTTGTGTCTGTCTAAAGTAAGTCTCATTAGTAGTAAGATTTATGCCATACTAAGCTTTATAACTTGTAAGAACTTTATAATAAAAACAGCTCTTTCCAATGAGCTGAGGAGTGAGATTAGGCAAAACTCACATAGGAGCGCCTAACTCCATTTCCATACTACAATTTCTTGGCTTTACTGACTAATAAGTACAAGAGCATTAATTTTATTTCAGTAATAAAGTCAACTAGCCAAGAGTGGTCAGCATTGAACCCATTAGACTTACAACCATTCGTTTCCCATTCGGTCCTTGTTCACTCCAATCATCCGTATCATCCTCAGGCTCGGCAATGTGCTGAGGTTCATAGTTGGGCTGAAAAGGATACCAAATAAAACTTATCAAGTAAAAACTGAAAGATTTAAACTTCATGTAACTTTTCTCACGTCTTGCGTCGGATCCGGGTATCTCTCTGGATACGTTGGAATCTCATCTCCCCATCGTCTTAGATTTTGTTCTGATCTTGTCATAGTTGTGGTGTTGACATTTTGTTGTGCTGAGTGAATTTGTGGAGTGTTTGGGTTTGAACCATTTCTTGGGGTTGGCACGGGTCTAACCCTTGATGGAGCCATTCTCTCCACATAACTGTCACGTTGCACGTCCTCGGTAGTCTGCAAATGAGTTGAAAAATTACAATTTCAACTCATTTAGGTGAATGATTTTTATTAAATAGCAATTATCAAGTTCTGGATGTTATTTTAAAATCCAACTCTTCTCAGCATCTCATCTCTTCGCGCCATTTCATCATCAACTCGCACATCAGCTGAGTTGTAGGCATCTCTGAAAATCGCCCTGAGTTGGAGGATTCATAGGTTGTTCTATAAATACCGTAAATGCTGTATTAGAATGACCTGTCATTCTATTTTTCAATATCCCCTAGGGTATCATTCTATTAGAGAGTGTCGTTTTATTTTTCACTCAAATTTCCACTACGGATCACAAAAAGTATCGCTGCTCTGCTCAGGTTTCAGGGAATTTAACTATTGGCTTTCAAAATTTCAAAATTTTTGAGAATCTTCTGATGTGAAATGCCCCAAATAATTCTATTTCTTAACAAACAGCAAAAATGAGTAAATACAAAGCGGGAAATTCTTTAAAATATGTGCAAATCCGGCCAAGCAGCGATTCTGGCCAGAGGTTGGTACCTCTGAACTTCGATGTACTATAAAAAGCCTAGGTAAATAGAAGGTCCACTACAAGGATAGCCTCGCACGGGCAACGGCAGGGGAACGGTCAAATTTGCATGACATGACTTATTCTTTGATATTTGCCGTTCAAAAGCTTGTCAGTCAATAGATCGACAAGCTTTTGAACGGCAAAGTGGGGGCGACTTTGCAGAGGCATTATCGCCCCCCTCCTCCACCAAAAAGAAAGGTGGGGGGCGATAATGCAATGTTTGGTGGGAGGTAATACTAACATACCCCCAGGGGGTCGGGGTGCTATAATGCAATACTTCCAAAAAACTATTAAGTGATATTAAGTGAGGTGTCATTCTAATACAGCATTTACGGTATTAAGCAATTGATTCTGTTTGTACTGATCCAACCTTCTAATCGTTCTCCCACTCGTCTCTCTCAATGTCACCGAATCAGACACCATTCCACCAGCAGCGGTGAGGTTTTCATATCTGGAATTAATCCTTGTATCAAGAACTGTTTTAAATCCTTAAATAGAACTTACAAAGTCAATACAAACTTACAAACTTTAAATAGATAAATGCTTTACTTATATGTTATAGAACATATAAGTAAAGCATTTATCGGTATTTTTCCGCTTTTCCCCGTTTCCCGTGCTACAGCATAATAGGCAAAGCCTTTCCCGGAAATTTGCATTTAATTTTGGGAGGAAAACGAAAAAGCACCCGTTCATCTTACCTCGATCCATGTTGTGGAACGGTCGGTTTTTTCACGACAACCGAATATTGTTGAGAGAGGCGCTCCCCGTTCGCGTCGACTCGCCCAGCGTGATGAGGCTGGAAATGTAATAGAACTTGCAATTAACGCATTCGCGCCGATACGGCCCACCGGTGGGCCGTACGTGGATTTAGCACTTTTTTTGAGGCCGATTGGGCTAAAAATTTGCAATCAGGGGTTTTTGCGGATGAGGAATTCGAATCCGTTATTAGCTTTTAAAGCAAACTGCTATATTTTTCAAGCTTTTATTCGGTTACCCAAATGCAACCACGCATCCAGGGCTGTGTGCCTAAAGGTGCGCGATTACAAAAGCGTGAAAATTTTCACGTTTACGTAATCGCGCTTCTGGCACGCGGCCTCTAGTGATAAAGGACAAAACCTAAATTTGGTTTCGTCTTTTTCTGCCTAGTTTGATTTAATTACCCAAGTTTTTAAAGAGTTTGTGATGACCGTATTGGCTCAGAACTGCAAGTTGCTCAAAAAGTAATAACGGATTCAGATTCTCCATCCCAGAATACCTCAGGTTACAAATTTTCAGGTCTACAGCTAGATAGCGGTCGTCCGGAACGGCAGCCAAGCCAAAAGTGACTTTGTCGTGAATGTGCTAATCATAGACTTTAAATATCCGAGATATTAATTTAATAGTATAAACTATTAGATATGTATATTATTAACTTAATTTGATAACCGAACCTGGAAAACTCCTTCAGCGGCGGCTCTGGCTTGATCGTCGGCAAGCGTTGCTCGGCCACCGTTTGCTAAAATTATCAGATCAAAATCGTTTAACTTAGCAAAAATTGCAAAACTTACAATATATCATGGATCCAGTTTGATGAGTTGTCTGTTGAGTGGTTCCCTGGCAAAATATTTCGTCAAAAAAATTTCACTTTCGCTGCCTAATTCGGCGAGAAAATCGCGGGAGTAATGGGCTCTTTTAGAGAAGTTTCGAAAAAGGTTAGTGAGAGTTTTGAGAAATTCTTTTAAATTATGCGATTCAACTAAAATAAATGTTAAATTATTATAAATCTTGTAAATTATGATATTTAATCATTATTTTAGTTGAATAGCATCATTTAACAAGTTTTCTATGGCTAAAATTCACCTGAAGCATGTGCCTTGATATTCTGGAGTCGGATTCTCGTTGGAAAGGTGAGGTTTTCGTCTCGATAACTAAAGAATAAGATATTTAATAACGTTGGGAATAGATAAAAACATATTAACATAAAATTAGCATACAAAACAAACCTTCACTATCATGTCCACCAATTTGTGCCACTGCTCCAACTAGACTCTCTCGTGGTTTGGCGTGCGGCGGTGGAGTCGGGATATCATCGATCACCGTTTCCTAAACATAAAATAATTTACTGAACTTGTTTCAAGATGTTCTTTGTGTTTACAAATCGAAACACATCCTTTCTGGTAACAGGATAGTCGTTCTGCCGTGAAAAGTCAACTTCATACCTACTTAACTGACTCAGAAAGGTTATGCTTTCAACAAGAAGCGAAAGCTAAAAGATAATTAATAACAAAATGGGATTTAATAACAATTAATAACAACAACATGGGATAACAAGAGTTGGCTGCGTTCATCGTTTTACAAAAAAATAAATCGAAGATGAGTTTTGCTGACAGAAACCGACAAATTTTATAAGATTTATCGTTAATTTTGCGAAAAGCGCTCAATGTGACACAAGAAATTGAAAAGCACGGCAAGAGAATGTGAGGAATTACCGACCCAAGAAGACTCCAAAAAAATCAAATTTTTGCCAATTTGGAGGAAAATGCGACAGGATCGAGTGCAAAATAGAAATGAACGAGAGCACAAAATAGAATTTAGCCTTTGACAGCCAAGTGAAAACACCCCCATGTTCTGGGAGTTCATTTAACTCAAGATTTCAATTTGATATTAGGTAATGTTATCTAATTTATCGGAGAGTTTAATTCTATACCTTGATCGGTCTCTGCGGTACAGCACCTCCAGCAATCGGCTGCGGATGGTGGATCTTTGTGTTCGACAGCTCAGGTAACGTTCCATAAGCATAGACACCAGATTCCCTCTCTAGAAAATTTAAAGTTTTAGCCACAAGTTGACAATGGCACACATTATGGAATACTTATTGTTAGCAATGCTTTTATCTGTATTACCTCAGCTCCAGTATCCGAGCTGCTTCCTTGGCTCAGGACGTAAGCATCGTAATGGCGTGTTCCCTCGTTATAAGTGTATCTGAAATCTTGCTCAATGTCGATATATAAAGCTAGGAAGTACGAAATGATTTCGTTTTGCATTTGTCATCGTTAAATTTTTAGATTTTTTTACCTAACAGTGCCAGTATTCATCGGCGAAAGGCTCCGATTTGACGACTCATCCGATGGATGATGGGGTAAACGGCCCGAGGTCACGGTTCTAAAGTTTCAAATGAAGAAGTCAAGTAAATTTTCCGACTGTTCACTGTATCTTGCATTTCCACCACTTGGAGTTGCTCCATATCCAATATTCTCACTGTATCTTGCATTTCCACCACTTGGAGTTGCTCCATATCCAATATTCTCACTGTATCTTGCATTTCCACCACTTGGAGTTGCTCCATATCCAATATTCTCACTGTATCTTGCATTTCCACCACTTGGAGTTGCTCCATATCCAATATTCTCATATTTCGAGGAAAGATTTGATGGTGGTTCCTCGTATTTTGGTGGAATTGGTGTGTAGCGGTCGAGGAGGTCGAGAGCATTTTGAACATTTGTCTAAACGATTACAATTACAAATTTAAATGTTAGCAAATTGAACGCTGGTTACCCCCTGTCCAAATTCGAGAGTTGTCGTCTTTTTAACAGTCGATGAGTAACCGGTGCTCGTCGGAATCACCTTAATCATCAGCTGTCTTGTTCTAGACCTTTTTACAGGGTGACCAGAAATAACCCGGACAAACCTTTTTGATTCGATCTTGACTAAAATAAATAAAAATGCTTTTAAAAATTGTTAACTATGCACTCATAGCAACTCAAATTCAAAACATTTTGGTCCTAGGCCGTTTCTATAAGCTGTAGGAGTTGAAAGAAGCAGCCAAACCCTCTGAAGCCACTGTTCTTTTTGCACAAACGCGGTTCGTTCTCAACATGCCAATGTAGAATCAAATTTTAAGAATTTTGACGAAAATATTTAAACTTTTTCTTATTAGAAAAAGAATGTTTGTGCTTGTTAGCTATAAAACCACAGTTTCTCGGACCAAAATAAAAGTCTGTTATTTTTCATGTGAAAATTATGGTTGAAAATCGGTTCTAGAGGAATTTCTGATGGCAAAAATGGTCTTACATAAAAGATAAGTTAAAATTTGGATATTCAGATTCAAAAATAAGTTATTTTATTGAAAATCAATGAGAACGAACCGCGTTTGTGCAAAAAGAACAGTGGCTTCAGAGGGTTTGGCTGCTTCTTTCAACTTCTACAACTTACAGAAACGGCCTAGGACCAAAATCTTTTGAATTTGAGTTGCTATGAGTGCATAATTAACCATTTTTAAAAGCATTTTTATTTAGTCTATGTGAAGATCAAAAGGATTTGTCCGGGTTATTTCTGGGCACCCTGTATTTTACCATTCGTTGTTACGACTTGTAGTAAGCTAATGTTCCTGACTGTGAGTCCAGCTATTTGTTGGATATTGAGTAAACAGAAATGATTCAAACCTCTTCCTCAATCACGGTCTTTCCATGAGGTAACTCTTCGACTCTTCGGGAGTAACTTGGAGCGGGTGGAGATGGGAAATTGAGGTGTTGAAGGGCACTCTCACTCATCACTGAAACTTGAGAATCGAAACTGGATTTCCAGCTTATTTCCGGTTTAAATCAAAGTGCAAACTGGAAATTAGACGAAGGTAATGCAGAAAGGCATTCAACAATGATTTCAATAAATTCTAACAAGAATAACAAGGACAAAGATGTCAAAAGCTCTGTTTTAAAAAACTCGGTTTTAAAAAGCTCTGTTATGCTTTGTTTACTAAGATTCTTATCAATAAATTATCGATTGTTGGAAAAGGAGTCAGTTAAAATTAAGAAAAATTGAAAAGGTTTGGATCTAGGCTTTAAAAAATTTGAATGTTCAAAGACTGGTCATAACGCATTGATAACAAAAAGAAGAAAAGAAAAAGTTAAGAAAAGGGAAAGAAAAGGTTTGCTATCACTGTTCCTCACCTCTTTCTTGCAAAGAGCTATTTGTTGTGTGGTGAGGAGAGGCACTTTGAGCGATAACGGTCGCCCGGCTGCTTGACTCACTACCACCCTCAGATCTGAAATAAGAATTGCCTTTTTGGCTGTTTGTGCAAAAGAGCCGTTTACTAGGTATCGATTGCTTACATTCCGTGTAGATTATCGGACATTTTATACGCGCCCGCCCCTCTTGCCATTGAGCCCGCCCCTCCCCTCTAATTTTGAGCGCAAATCTCTTAGCTTTGGACTGTTCAATTCAAACCTTCTTGGTATCATTAGATGCGCCAAGTCTTTCTCTGTCGATTGGTACAAAAATTATTTAAATTGGACGGCTTAAATTAAATTGGATTGCCAATGGCAAAGGGGTGGGGCAGGTCACAAATGTCCCACAATCTTCCGTGTACGCAAAGTACTTTTTGTGATTCTCGTAAATGTTTTGAGATTAAAGCTTTGTACATTAGGCGGAATATCGTTTGATTTTTGAGCGGAGAAAAAAGGAACCATTTTAACAGGTTTAGCTTTAGACAAGGAAACGTTTAATTCAAAATCCTTTCAAGTTGAAGAGTTGAAGAATTTTTTAGGCGGTTTCTTGAGGTTCTTGAGGTTAAAATTGTAAACATATCCTAGTCGATGCACTAAACTCTTTAAATTTACATTGAGTGCACCAGAAAAGCTGCGTTTGTAGCACAGAATGTTGGCAAAACTATAAAATTACGATTCTATTAAATTATACCCCACAAAAGCTGCAAGGCATCAATTGAAATAAAACAAGGAACGAAAAGCATTCCAGCTTTCTGATAGAAAAGTCGGATCCTTTCTTCCATTTTTTCCTTCTTCAATTGAATCTGCCTTAAACGATTGAATAACCGGTTATCTAACCAGTCTGCCAGCCAATCCTATGTGATAAATAGATCATGCACTGGAATAAAGGACCAAACAAACAACAATAGCTCTAAGCATCTGATATTGCCAACGAAGGTCGCCATTTGGTTTCACTTTTGACTTGATTTCAACCTTTTCCACATGTCTTTTGAATTTTCTTTCCTTTTTGTGGAGCTTTATTTAAATTTGCAGCTTTTGTGGGGGTATAGTTGAATAGAACCCCAATTACTGTAGTCAACTATCATCCTAAACTTAGCACAATTTCGCTGCGATTCTTCTAGTTCTCTTTGTCATTCCGAAATCGATTACATCGATGTGTACACAAAGAGATAACTCGCCCCTTTACTTGGCAAACAATTCCTGAATCAGCCTAGCGGAACAAAAAGCAATGAATCAGAAAGGGGGAATTTCTCAGGAACTTTTGGTAAGCTAAGTAAAAATTCCTAAGACTTGAACTTTGCATATCTCAAACAAAATTTGCTCTCTTTTTCTTTACCCTTTAAAATTTCAAGCTAAAAACAAAAAGTTCTAGAAGCAACAAGCTTTACGGGAATACAATGCGTTTATAGAGCCATTGTAGCTATGCAAATTTTTATAGACCTTTGCTGAACTTATTGCAATTGCAAGTGATAGAATTGTAACTTACAACTAGGTTAGACTCATCCAAGATTTGAATATTAAAAATTACTGTTTTGACGCGTTTACCTCATAAAATGTCGTTGATCTTCATAGCCGGTGTGATGAATCGAGTGCCTTGAGCCAGTTGTGTGATGGGAGACTTGAGAAGAGTGGAAAAGCTGAAAAGTTAATGTTTAAAACTATTGAGTAAGCTAATTTGAATGTCAGAATGGTTCAAATTTCAGCTTGAGAGCAAACCTTTCGCTTGTATTGGCAATTATAATACAATGTGAATATGATTCTACATTCTACCTTGGTTTTAAGGTCAAGGTATTCAGCTGAATCTATCTAATAACATCTAATAACATACCTCATCTTTAGAAGCCCTTAAGCTCCTCTCATGTTCTTCTTTCTCCGTTTGCAACATGTTCGTCAACGATGGAGAATATGGTGAGGTTCTTCTTGTAGGACTCGGAGTGGTCGGACTAATTGAAACATTGCTTTAATCTCTGAAAAAACGAACCTCATTCCAAAAGCTTCTCTAGCTGACTCTTTAGCGGCTTTCGGTGGAGTTGGTGGACCTGAGCCTGGAGGACTTGGTTCATTATGAGTGGGTAGAGTAACAGGTGGACTGATGATCTCTTGCGTTTGCACATTCAAAGTATTCGTTCCATAGGTTTCCGCAGAATATGTGATATTTTTTGTCATAGTTGACCCAGATTCCGAGTAAACATTTGAATAATGGCTGTTTCCTGAGTGTGAGCGCTCACGTTTTGGTTCGGGAGCATCGTCGGCATACGGTAGATAGGGTTCTTTGGCTGTTTGGGGTGGTGGTGGAGGACGAGGCGGTGGGGGTGGCGGAGGCGGTGGACCTGGAATAGCTCATTTAAACAGATCATAAATCCTAGTGAATAAAGTTATTACAAATTAAGCTTGATAAGACTGACTCTAACTAGGCTTACCATATTTATTCTAATAGAAGACCATAGTCTTCTATTTTTCAACCCCCCCCCCAAAATCGGTCGACCGGAAAGTAGGTAAGGGTCTCCTACATAAATCAAAAATTTTTTAATTGCTAAAAACTATTTTAAACGATAGCCATTAACCCAAAACATGCCAAAAACTGGTTTAAAAGTGAAATTATTTCCCTACCTAGAGCGCCTAGAAAATCTCCCAAAAAAATCCATTTGGAGAACCACATAAAATTTTTTTCCAAAAACTACGTTTCCAATTTTACTGCTAAAGCTAAAATACATCTATCTAAAGCCAGATCTATAAATTTAACTAAAAAGAAGTCCTGAAAAGTTCCGATTTTGAGGAGTTAGGGGGTGGTCTTCTATTAGATTAGCCCATAAGTCTTTAGTCTTTTTCTACTAGCGTTTATAACTGACAAATTCATCCATTGACCTACAATTGGCTCCATTAGGAAGGTCTACTATTTTTCTACAAAATAACGTTCGCATCTTATGAAAATGTTTTGTCTATGATTTTTTAATGGGGGTGCAAAGTCGAGTGGTCAAAAAAAGCGACAACTTGAAGACGTAGGCAATCTAGGCGCTTTAGTCTACAGGAACCTGTCTTGGTGTCAATAAATAAAAGATAGAGCGTAAAAAGTTGGGTATATAGCCAAATTTACAGGATAATCTGTTCAGCCGATTTTTTTGTAGAGTCAGTAAGCTTTAAGCTTTAAGTAATTTAGTAGTAGTAGTAGTAATTTTACGAGAAACGACTATTTGCACTCTAATTTTCTTGGATAAGGACCAAAATTGTTTTAAAAAGATAGAAAATGATAGAGAATAAATAAGAAACATTTTCTATTTAGAGCCAATTGTAGGTTACTTGGTAGATTGGTCATTTATAAACGCTAGTGTTGTGTAAAAAAAAGTGTTGAAAGACTTATGGGCCAACCTAATATTAGAATAAATACGGTACATCAGCTAGCTTATGGTTTAACTTATCAGTTCTAAAAAACACCTGGTGGAGCTGGCGGCACAGCTGGTACATGAATGGTCGGTGTCGGTGGGGTGATCGTGATCGGAGCCGCAGTTGGTAAAGTGGTGATTGGTGGAGGTGATGGTCCGTCGCTGTCTGATGGAGGTGGTGGCGGAAAACCGCTTGGTCTCTGTAACGATCTCCCCAAACTACCGCCCGAATATTCATACACAGAGTTGGAAGAGCTTGTATCGTGCATGATCTTTCTAGTAGTCACTGTTTCAGTTGTTGTTGTAATCGTCGCATCGCTGAGACCTCTTCGTTGGACTCCGGGCGAGAAGCCTCGATCATCGTGCGGTAATCCGGAAATCGTTTTTGGTTCAAGGCGTTCAGCTTGTTCGAAGAGTGCCGAGAAGTTCTTTTCACTCATTTTCCAGTAGTTCTCACGAAGATATTCTTTCAAAGAGTCATCTGGAAAAGTTAATTTTAAATCAAAACACTGACTGAGTAGTTTCCTAGACTTTCCTAGAGTTTCCTAATCCACAAGAAACCAAAGTAAACTATCAACTTTATCAGTTTCTGCCGGGTTGATGTTTGTGCTTTAAGTAGCCCAAGCTCACTATCAATGCCAAAGTTTGAGTAGCAACAAATTGTTTTAATTTATACAAAGTGACCGCGAATTATGGCGACACCTTTTTTGGAAAAGTTACTACCAAACGCCTGACTTATTACCAAAATGCCAAGTGTTATATAGAAAAATAAAGCCCTTCATTTTGGCATCATTTATCTACAAAGAAGTTCCTGATTGGAACTATACAACTCATTTTACAAGCTCGAATGAGCTCAAGGCAGCCTCTCTCCGGCGAGCTACCATTTTTGGCCCTTTTTATACACACAATACACAATAAAGGACGACTTGAACCCATTCGAGAGCTTGTAAAATGAGTTGTATAAATCCAATAGGAAAGTTCTTTGTAGCTAAATGATGCCAAGATTATAGGCTACAATTCTCTATTTAACACTTAACAATTTGGTGAAAAATCAGATGTTTGCCAGCAGCTTTTCCAAAAAAGGATCGCCAGAATTCGCGATCATCCTGTAGAAAGACCTCTAAGCCAGTTTTTAATTCCAATTTTCAACTATTCAAAGTCTTAGACCCCACCTTGTTTTCTCTCAAACATGCATTCCGTATTGAACTTGTATTCGGGATGTCCATGCAATTTCAAGCGGCGCAAAACAGCGATATTGATTGGTGAACCGTCAGAGTCGCTAATGAGAAGCACAATGTTTTTCTTCATATGCTCAGGAATGTAATCGAGTACCTGAATTGATTTTGAAAAAGAAAAACGCATATCCTTTACTTTGACGAGTTCATTCTCTTCAGCGCTCGTCATTCGACATTGCGATGAAAGAACCACACCGACAACGTCGATTCGATGATGTTGATTGAGGGAAAGCCACGCTTGGAAAAGATCGTGGATCTCTTTTTCACATCTGAAATCCCGAAAAATCAATCTTTTATTGAGATTATCCATAAGTAGAAATTTAGAATTGTAAACTACCATATTTATTCTATTTGAGCTCTTCAAGCTCTTCCCTTTTGACGAAGTTTTTCATTTTTTCAGATTTGCCAACTCTCGAATAAAAAAATACTCAACTTTTTAAAGGCTTTAAAAGGCTTTAAATAATAGTTATATACTAAAAAAGCTTAATGACGTCGAAAACCAAATGAAAATCCAACAAAAACACCTATTTTGAGCTCTTGAAACTTTGGATATACGGGGTGGCCGGAAAGTTCGGAAAGTACTTTTAAAAGAAGCGCCATAAAGTTCAATTGACAAAAGATCAAAGAGATAACTTAATTTTTAGAAAAGTTAACTATTTTTATTATATGAAATCAAGTTTTGAGAAAAATTTAGACTCTCTTAACGGTTTCAATAAAGGACCAGAAGCTCGCAATTCTAATTTCGAAATTTTTTGATTTTGAAATTTGCAAAATGATTGTAGTTTTATTATTCCTAGTTGAATTTAGTTGTAGAGCAGCTAGTTTTAAAGAAAAATATCTCCTCTTTTTAAATATAAACCTAGATAAGCTTTATTTGTCTTCCAGCCTTTTTAATCACTGGATTTATCAGCTTGATCGGCGACCAGCCTGGAGAACAGAGAGCTTTGCTTGAAAGAATAATAAAACCCGTATTTTTGATGAATCTTTATGAAAAAGACTTGATTTTAATAAAAAATACTATTTTTAATAGTAAATACTATTGTTAAATACTATTTTACTATTGTTTTCACTTCTCCTTTGATTTTTCTGAACCAGAATTTAGCGGCGTCGCTTTCAAAAATAACAAAACTTTTCGGCCACCCTGTACTGTAGCTAGGGCACGAAAAAAAATTTTAAAGCGACATTGAAAAATAGAAGAGTCGGCTCTTCTATTAGATGCTTGATGCTTGCAATTTTCAGAACTTCAGAACTTTAGAGCTATAACCCACTCTTCTTTGCCAACACCTGGAGTATCAATGACAATCGGTCGAAAACTTGTTTGCGCATCGTTGAATACATAAGTTGTGATCGATCGTGACGGGGTTGAGGCTTCAAACTTCTAAGTCAAAACACTGTAAATGTTTGCGAAATTCTTTGTACCTCATTTGCGATATGAAAACGTTCATCGGATTCGAGATTCACTCCATAAAAATAGTTGCACATGAAATCGACGAGCGCGCATTTTTTCGTGTTCGAGGCTCCAAGCAGAAGGACCACTCGTGATTCTCGTTGAATTGAATCTAAAATTGATTCAATAATCAGTTTTTGAGCATGAAAATAATGTTGTATGATTCAATAAAGAAACTTTTAAACACGAAAATGAAATATGATGAATTTATGCCTTAGTCTTTGCTTAGTCGTAGATTTTTGGCATTAACTCTTTCCAAAATGCTTCTGGAGTTCTAATTCTTGTGCAGTAATACCACATGATAAATGGAGTCAAATGAAAGGGCGTGTTTCTATTTTTTCAAGAATTTCAATGAAATTGCATTACTTACCACGAGACCCTCCCGCAAACACAGTCCTCACATTTGGCAGAGTATCGCCCAGAGCTTCGCCGATGAATTTACTCGTTAGTTTGAGACTTTCACGTCTTTCCACCATTTCCAATTAGTCCATCTACATTATTGATTGATTAATATGATCAATCGAGTAATTAAAATAGTCAATTGATTGATTAAAATGGTCAATTGATTGATTATATTGGTTTTGATTAAAATAGTCAAACAAATTGGTCAAACTCTCTATTAGTTTAAACTACAAAGTGAAAAACATCTAAATGTAACTTCAACATGTAACTTCAAAGCGAGCTTCATGTAAATCATGAAGTTCGCTTTGAAGTTAAGATTTGAAGAATCAATTTGAAGAAAGTTAAAGATTTGAAGAATCAATTTTAAAAGGCTTCATAAACTTTGTCAAAAAAAGGCTCAACAAAGTTGAAGTAAAGGTTGACAGATAAATCTATAACAAAACAGTTGAAAGATTCAGAAATCCAGAAAGAGAGAAAGAAGAAGAATAGAAATTTATTTTAACAGAAAGAAAGTATCTATTTGAAGCCCAATGCAATAAATCTATTGCTCTGAAAAAATGGTTGTTGCAATATTGGAGAAAGGGAAAAGAAAAAACTGTCTAAAACTTCGATAAAGAAAAAGTCTTCCCTTTTTCTCTTTTCGCAGTCTCACAATGCCACAACGAATAAATATGATAAATGGTCGAATCAAGAGAAAAAAGAAACCATTATCGATAGGGTGAAAAGTGAGAAAAGCCGAGAAAAATGGCTGCTTTTAAACAATTTATTGGGGTGACCAGTTGGAAGGTGGGGAAATTGGCAGCGAATTGGAAAAAAAATCGATATCATGAAGCGTTGATGAATTCACCAAGGATGGAAGCATAGAAATTTGGAACTAGATTTTTAGATGCAAAGCTTTAATTGAATCGTCCAGTGATAGTTGTTAGGCTAATCAAGAATAGGATTTTATCAGAAATCTTCTACCATGCAATCAAATTTGAAATTAAAGCAAGAAATTGAGGAAATTTTCCATTTCTTTTTTTTTCTTTTATTCTTTTTTTCTTTTCTATTCCTTTTTTCGATTCTAGTGTATTCAAAAGTTCAAATTGCCTAAATCAGACTGGTATTGCTGGTTTCTGGTTTAGTAAAGGGGTAAAGCTATCTACTATATATAAAAGAGAAGTGTCAGTCCGTCCGTCACACTCTGGATCCCGGCTCCCCGTAAACCGATTTCGATAAACTTTTTTGATCGATAGGGAATTAAGAATGAATAGGTACATACTTTTTGGTCAAAACAAGTTTTTCATCAAAAACCTGTAAAAAATCGGAAAAATGACTTAGCCACGCCTTTTTACCTTTAGCGGCCCCAGGAGGGGGCGGGGATTGCGTGGTCGTGGTGGTTAGCGTCCCGTCTACAAAACGACTGCTCTAAGGGGGTGTCGGGTTCGATTTCCGTGCGTTCCAAACTTTTAATGCTTTGAATGTTTTCAAGCATGAAGTTGAAGTTTGCAAATTTGAGTTGCTTCGCAGCAAAGGTATTGTTACAGGGCTCTCGGAGGGGCGCGAGGTGCGACGTTGGTCGCGCCAAGCGTCCCAGTATAAAAGCACCACTTGGCGGGCCGAGGTGGTTCTTAAGAGAGTATCAGGGTTGGTTCCGATATTGCTTTGAAGGATTAAGAGATTGTGACCAATATTGTTACAGGGGTCTCGGAGGGCGCGCGGGAGGGGAGGGGCGCAGGAGGGAAGAGTATGGGTCCCTTCAATTTGAGAGATCATACTATGCGTTAGCCCTAAAACACCCAGCCAGAAAAATCCACCATTAGGCGGGGTCTTTTTGGCTGGTTCAATTATACTCCTATTTTAAAACTCAGCTCATTTATTAATTCATATCTTTACTGGAACAGTAAAGACTTTTGAACTTTTGACTGACTTTTGAATACCTGAAATAAAAAAACTGAAATCAAAATTGAAATAAAAACAACGAGTAGTGAAAGGTTTCAGAATTTGAGTTATAGAAATAGCAAAACTTCTTAAAACAATGGTACACTATATCCCCAACTATAAAAACAATCAGAACAATCAATCTGGAATCGATCGCCAATAAAGCTCAAACAGATAGACTTCTTGTTAAACTCAAACTCGTTTTCAAAACAACAAAACAATGAAATATTAAAAAGTTAAGCAATCAATTTCATTTGATTCATCAGCAAACTGCGTAGGCTTCTCCAAACTAGTCATTGGTATTAAATTTTTGGCAAAGAAAACGCCTCAAAAGATGGAGATGTTTCATCGTATTGTTTGCCCCGATTTGAAGCCTTTCCCCCATTTTCTTTTCCATCGATAGCAGCAACTGGCGACGGGAATTTACAGATAAGGTTTTGGAAAGAAAAAAGGAAATTGAAAAGGAGTGAAAGGGAAAGACGAATTCGGATGCACTCCATTTTACGGTCATAAAAATGAGGACCAGAGACAACAAATTTTTGATACAATCAATAGCGGTAAAGCTAGAATCGTAAAATGTAGGAGGGAAATGGAAATGTCTCGTTAAACTTTAGCGCATTCTGAAGACTCCTTTTCTCAAATAAATCGCAATAAAAAGTTACCAAAACTGTTGCTGAACACTTGAACAGTTCAAGAAAGGATCATGGAAAATTTCGTAGTAAATAGGAATACACAATTTTGTTTTAGTCTTGGAAATTTTGGAGCAAAGTTCCATCTTAGTCTTGGAAATTTTATGATACATGCGATTAGAGTGAAGCAAATCTTTAAAAGCTTTTCAGAATTTTCAGAAAAGAGTAAAAATTCAATTTAATGAATACTATCAAACTCTTTCATAAGAAAACTGTATATATTTATTGATGCTAGAAAAGTGAGAGCAAAAAGCAAGCTGATAGTCGGCAAAATGAATCATGAGAATCGTGAGGAGTCTCTCTTCGTCTCGTTTCATGCCAAAACTTTAGACCTTTCTAAGCAAAAAGCAAACAAATATGATTTTGCCAATAAACATCATGGCTAAAAATTGAGTGTGCAAGAAAGGAGTTGTTTCAGTTTTGGAGCACGAATCATTGGCAGGCTAAACTTGGCAACTTTAGAGTTTGATCATCGTTAAGCTGTTTGTTTTAGTTTTAGGTTTCTTCTCAAACAAAAACAACCAATACTTTGAAGTATTTACTTTTTCTACTAGATCCATTATGATATTTTGTGCCAAAATAAGCTAAGATCTTCATTCACAACCCCATTTAATCATTTCATAAAGGTTTCTAAACCATCAATTTACCGAAAAAGCATACTCATTTTTGAAGAAACAAGTTTCCCAGACAACAACCAGGTACCATTTAGCGTCTTTTCTACTTTTTAATGAAATGAACATTTTCAATTACATCAAACGAAAGTAAAACAGGTGATTAGAAAGATTTGAAAGTTCAAAAAAAGTAATCGCAATAAAAGTGAGCTCAAGAAAAGTTAGATTTATTTTCTTTAAAGCAAAATTTTATAGATTTGAAAATTTTTGATGATTTAAAATTATGATTTAAAAATGGTGGGTTTATTAAGCTGCTTGTATTTTTGAATGTTTGATTTACCCTTCAGATTCTCCCATCTCTGAAATATCACTGCACATCTCAGCGGGTTCAATATTTCAAAGAGATTCTCACAGCTGTCGCTAGTTCGATTATTTTATGGGGTAATTAAACTTGAAAGTTCAATCTAAACGAACTCCAGGACTATTTGTAGTGACTCAATATTCGTATGGCTTGTATGTTACCGAGCGCTCGCTCGTTACTCACACATGGGAGCTCTACGGGCCGATGTTTACCGGGGTAAGCTTTTCAGTGTTCATGAAACGGAGCCGATTTGGAGCCAATCCGGGAACTCCAAACTGTTCATCTCTTTCTATGAGATTCCCTGAATCATTTGATTGTTTAGTATATCAATAATGTAGTCTAAAATGTATAAAAGCATTCTCAAAAAGAAGCGTTCTCGCCTTTTTCATACTAAATTCCACTTGTTGAACCTAAAAGCATTACTTTATTTCAAGGGAGCTCTACGAGAATTTATCTTTAGCTTTAGATCGATTTCAATAACCGAAAATTCCCCATTTTTTAACAACTAAACAAGTTAACGGCTTTCCTTGTAAAATTTTGAAATTACCGCAAGTGTGTTGTCTACGTATGTGTTTCCTTGATATCCTTGATGTTGATGATACAATTTGAGTAGTTGACAAAGTTGATTTAACAATTTATTTCAAACAGAGGAAATATTGGACAATCGTTTTCAAAACAAAAGCTCGACAACGAATTTGACCAAAGAGAAACAAAACTATAACAGACATTTTGCCACGCCCCTTTTGCCATTGGCAATCTAACTTTGAACTCAAAGATCTAGGTGTTGGACTGTCCAATTTAAGTATTCTTGGTATCATTAGGTGCGCCTAGTCTTTCTCTGTCGATTGGTACAAAAACTATTGAAATTGGACAGCCCAACATCAAGAAATTCGAGCACAAAGTTGGATTGCCAATGGCAAAGGGGGCGGAGCGCGTATCAAATGCCCCATAATCGAAAAACAATGCTGTGGAATGGTGGACAAATAGGGTAGGAGGTCCGCACTTTAGAAAGCACTTAAGTTAACAAATAAATAATCTGAGGGAAATGATTTAAAGAACTATTATATTCACAACAAAGTTCTAAGAACCGCATTGAGTCTTGGAAACCGTGCTAAAACTTTTAGATCTTTAAAAGCTCAATGAAATAAGTTTGTTTCATATCATTCTTGCAGACTGCAGCATGTTCGGTGACCGTGAATCTGCTTGCACTTTCTCTTTGCCTTCAATGTTCCAATTTCACAAGGCCAGTCCGATATTTCTTGATCTTCGATGTAATCGGCCGTGCTCTTGTCTCATTTTACTACTTGATAGCCGTGTTTTGCGCTATTCAGTAAGTCTAACGAAAGCGATTCATGACCAGTTTTAGCCCAAATCTCTCCGTGTGCACTGAGAGCTTGTTCCCCTTCATAATCAACTCCTTGAACTGGCTACTGATGCCCGGTTCATTCATTTCTATTTTTTGCCAATTTGGTAAGCAAATAAGTCAAGCAAAATTTTATTTGACCAAGGTTTATCATTGAATCGTTTTGTTGCAATCTCTTTTAATGGAAGCTTCTTCAAGCAAACAACGCGATTTCCTCGTTCTCAAGTGTCTTTCGTCATTCTTATGCCATATGTGCTGTATTTTGGAAGTGCGTATCTCTATGGTTGGTTTTTGATTAAGCATTGTAAAGCCATCCATTGAAAGAATAATAGAAGACTTTTTTATAAGGATATCAGTCATCCCTTGTAAACTATGGATTTGGTTCGCTTATCTGCAACTGCAGTAGTTTAGCTTATGAAGCCAGGAAGCCAGTGGCCGGGTCAGACCAGACACGACGCAAGCTTTCTACCAGGAAAATGATCAGCTTTCTCTTTTTCCTTTTACATTCTCCCTTTTGCGGTGATCCCAAACATATTTGACGCTTTAGTTAACCAATGGATATATTTGTTTCGGCTAATGCAAGTGCTAGAAACGTGTCGTTCTTTCTAAATAGACAAAATAAATAAACAAGATACTTTTCAAACTAATAATCATTTTACATTTGGGCCTGCAGAGTTTATTCGTTCAAGCACGCTCGCTTCAACGATTTTACGATTATTTTCAGCCTCTTGCCATGCCTTAGAATGCTTATCCTAAATTGAGTATTTGCAATAATAAAGAAAAAACTACTCTTAAATGGTTTCTCCTGGAATTTGTGGCCGTTGGAGTAAATTGAGTGCATTCTTTTGGACATAAATCACATTTAGCAACAAATTTCTCATTCTTTTTGTGTTTGATGATGAATTACCATACAAGAGATGGCAAACTTGGTTTTCTACTGGGTGTTCCTGGGTCCTAAAAAAGTTATGAGTAAAAGGCTAGACTTTCAATAAAAATTTGATCCTATTCATTGAGTTGTTACTCATTTTCTATATATGCTATGCTTTTCGAAATGACCTAAAGATTAATATCAAATCCTGTTTCCAAAAAAAAGAGAAAAACAATCGTTACACTTTATTTTCACTTTGGAAAATGAAAACTATTTTACTTATGCACTGCAAGATTACGGCAGTTTAGCACTTTTTAGAAAACATGATTTGAGCTCCCCTCACACTCTAATCCCAAGGAATAGGCGTAGGGAATCGGTCTATTCCGATCTGCCAAGTTAGGCGTCTATTCCGATCCCTGGTTCGGCTTTTTTCAAAATCAAAATATTTTTGCATTTTTCTAAACATAATCTTTTGAATTTGTCAATTATATAGATATTAATGCAACGCTGACTCTTGTTTTGGAGAGCATCCTCGAGACTGCGCTTGTCACCATCATCATTTCGCTTGACTGGATCACTTTGTACAAGATCATGGTACTTTGAGTCGTTTTCAAGTTGCAAAACAAGTTCAGAAGCGACGGAAGGGCGACTACAAGCAAGCGGATGTAAAGCTGGGATTACAAGTTCAATCACATTTCGATTACTAGATGAGATTTTTTTGATAGATGATTGGGAATAACTTGCCCTATCTATGGCATCGAGCGTTCGGAATGGTTTTGTTTATTTTCGTGGATTACTTTTTTCGCTCAACAACCGTTTATCTTGAGTCATTTGATCGAATTTTGTATTATGTTGGTGGCCATTTGTTGGGAGGGTGAGCTTTTAAAAAGCAAAATCTATTTTTAATATAAAGTTTTGATATGACAAGGTATATTGCCCAGAGACTTTGTAAATGCCACCGTAAATGTGTCTTTGGACAAATCTGTATCTAACAAATCTGAAAAACTAACTAGGGAATATTCTCAACTTTCTCTAGTTCTTACTCTAGTAAACCTGCTCTAAAATAACTGACCAAGGCTTGTTAGTCCATGTTGAAAAACCTTTACTATTACTGATATGTAATTCATTGCTAGAGAAATGTGGTTATGAAAAAATGAGTAATACCCCGGCAGTATTTAAGGATTCAAATTCAATTAGAATCTTGACCGTTCATTGTTTGCTGAGCATCGCTCGACGAGAAGGCCGATCGAAACAAACAATTTCGACGCTTGGTGATGAGAGAACAAAAGCCTCGAAATTACTCTATTCTTTGAATCCAATTCGGCGAGCGATAAATGGTTGAATTGGTAATTCTTGCTATGGCAATAGAACATAACTTGCAAATAACGAACAATGAAAACACAAGCTTGTCAATATTTTAAGGAAAAAGTCTTTGCCAGGGTATTTTTTGATTTTACGTTGAGTCTTTCCGTTTTTAGAAGCACTTTAGAAGAACAGAGCGCTGAGTGAGCTAAACTTATTATATAAAATCAATTTTTTTTCAAGGGTGACACATTTTGGGATAAAAATTAAAAGCGTAACTTTTTCTCACCTGGCAAAGAGTTCCAAGAAAAAATACCGCACAAGATCATTCGAAAAATAAACGAAAAAGAAGGCTGTTTCTCCAAAATTTCCGTCAAGCTCTGGATGTGGTGTGGAAAACGGTTTTTCCCCTTTGCTTAACCATTGTCTTTTGCGTGTTGTATTATCGAAATATATCCACTTTTCGTCCATCGTCAACATGCTTTCAAAAAAGCACCGCCCGTATCCTTTTTCAATAAAAACCGAGACAATAAAACTCGATTGGCTTTGCTTTCAGGGGATAATTCATATGGGATCCATTCGCCACAACGATTCCCTTTTCCAATGCGCAAAAGGTTTCGAGGAGTTGTGCTTGAATCGAATTTAAAGTATTCGGCTAATTCGCGGAAAGTTTGAGTTGGATCCGACTCGACAATCTCCAGCAACTCCACATTATCAAGGGCAACATGGCAATGTTCATGAGGCGAGGCTCATCTCCCAGGTTCTTATCCCCTTCACAAAAACGTCGAAACTATTCCTGGCAACTCCTTTCACTCAAAACCTTTTCTCCGAATGCTTCACAAAGGTTCCAGTGCGATTCCGATGCTAATTTCTTTATTTTGAAGCCATTTAGTCAGTCAGAAGACGAAAACGAATTTTTGGTCCGTCATCTTGTACCTAAAATTATTTAATATCCAATAAGAACTTAGTTGTGAAAATAATTAAAATAAATAAGCGTTAATAGCACAATAGAATAAAATTTAAACGAGTTCATAGCACTTTTAAATAAAAAAACTTCCCCCCACGGAAGTAATCCGCAGTTTCTTTTGCAAGTACCTAATAAAAATAAATAGTTTCAGTTTGAAAAAATGGAATGATCTTTTAGTTTTATGACTTGAAATCTTTTCCTCTTAATCACTTAAAAACCCGAAAGTTTTACTAAGAGCTTACATCAAAGCTATCAGATTTTTCAAACAAAACTGAATTGACTCGAGGGTAAGGGCGATTTTACGAATTATTCAATGAGGTTTTTGCTAACTCAAAATTTTTGAGCAAAGCTGAGATTTCTTTGCAAGAACCAGTGGACTTTTTTTGGATAGAAGCCAACTTTTAGCTGCTTGTGCAATTTTTCAGAGTTTACGAAACAAGAAGCAAAATGACAAGTCCTCTGCGACAGAAGTAGACGTTAACTTTTGAAATTAGACCGTTTTGATTTGTTTTTTTTTAAATGAACAGAATCCAGTATCGATTCAAACAAAGCCACAATGCTGGTCAAAACTGTTAATTCTATTCTGTTTCTGCGTTTACTAAATCAAATTCTTTGGCCAGTAAGAAAAAAGGATAAAGCTTTTTTTTATTGCCATTTCTAGTGAGTCTTGTAGAACATTTCGATTGTGTTGTATAAAATATACTTGTGCTGAGTTTATCTTTCAAATTTTATTTTTGGATAATCTATTATTAGACACCGAACTGACGGTTGTCACTAAAGTGACTGGTTTTGCTTTTGCCTTCTCTTTTGGTTTCCGTAGGAAAATGGAGTCAATGATCCTAAATGTTAAAATGATGATTAAAATGGCTCGGAAATGGTTCCCAATATTGGCCTAAAGTTTAAAAACTCACATTATTCCCAACTGAAATAAGCTCATTTCGGTGAAGTCCACCCAGTATCCCAATAATATTTGCGTGTAAAAGTCATAGAAATATTGAACGATTCCATGAGTTATGCAGATTGCATAATAAGTCAAAAGAACCGTTGCCGAGTTGGCAATCATCTGAAAAAATAGATCTCCAGAATACTGTAGTGAAATAATGTGTTACTTGCATCATGAGAAAAGCTTCAGAGCGTGAAGTCTTCCCGCTTTTCCGTAGCTAAACCTCTTTTGAAGTGGAAAGCTATTTTTGACAAACTTTTTCCATCTTTAAATATATAATTAAATCTAGTGCGCACATCAGAAAATAGGGAAAAAGTTGTGAATGTTCTTGAATCCATAGAAGAGTTAAATCAGATCCAGGTGGGAGAGCCTCGTCAAAAAAATGGACACCATAACACCAAATATAGGGAATCAAAAGTTGGATGAGTGGCCATTTGAGTGTGGCTCGAAAGTAGAGGCCATCAAAGGAAATGGCGAAAAAGCGGCTAAAAATTGAAAATTAAATGGATGTTCCAACCAAGCTCTAATCTTGGGTTGGGGAGAATGAGTCGGCGCCAAACTTTAAAGGGACTTTTTGCACACATAAAGCCTTCTTTAAACATACGTTTGGTTTCATCAAAAGGATCCACTAGTTCTCTACAAAATCACTTTTGAGAGATTCCACAAAGCTTTTCTTTCGTGGAGTTTATGAACTTCCAAACGCAGCTGGTTAAAATGGCAAAGAGTCCGACTCATCATTTGAACAGTTTCTTTCACATAAACCTTCTTTGGTGTTTATATAAAAAAGATAGAGCACATTCAATTACTTAAGTTGCCAAATTTGCAGGAAGATCCCACCAATGGTTTTTTTCTAGATCACAGTTTGTAGTTTTTGTGAAAAAATGGCTTTTTCTTGAGCGGAGGCGCTGTTTGAATTTTCTTTTAAATGTCATTTTGTAGAGAATTAGTTAACCATTCTACTGATATCAAACGCATATTATTTGACAAAGTCGAATAGAAGTTTTAGACATTTTTTGATTTTCGGCGCCGACTCATTCTCCCCAAACCAATAGTAAGGCCAGAGCTTAACAGAAATCCTAAGTCAAGGCCTGGCTTCTGGCGAGCCCAAGGACTTTCTGCGGACTAGCGTTGTCTAGAATAAAAGAACCGTAACATTTTTTAATGACTTTGACAACCCTAGCCGAGCAGTACAAAAAATGCTATGCACGATGTTGAAAAACATTTAAATTCGAGTTTGGGGTCTCTAAAAAATCGTCTGTATCAATACGTTTTCTGTTTTTCTGTATCAATACGTTTTTAGAGTTAATCCTACTTATTATAAGCGAGAGAGTATGTTTGTCTCTGTCTGCTCAACTGTTTTAGAACAAGCTGCCTAACCAATCGGTCTAAAAATTTGACTTGGATTTGATCTTGAATCTTTGAGTATATCCAAAATTTTATATAGTTTTATGCCACTCCTGTAAAGGTAGTCTGAATCAAAGAAAGGCCTGGCACGGTCAGAAAGCCGATTAGGACCTGGTTTCTAATAGTAAGCTGACTCTATTCTGGTCCCACCAGTTTCTGTTACTGCCTGGCTCGGTAAATGTATGTTATTGCCTGACTCGGTAAATCTCCCATTAAAACAACCTTATTGAAATCATAAGTTGACTGAATTGAGCCACATCAGACAACGTTTCGATTGGTAGATAGAGTTGAATAGCAGAAAAAAGTTTAGCCGTTTCCGCCGAGCACCTCGAGAAAAGCATCTCATATAGACCACGAAAACTAGCTCACTTGCTCTTCTTCCCAAAGAATATTTTGAAATAATCACATGCTTTCCTAAGAAGATATATTATAGCGTAAACTAGTCGAGAAGCGCTTTGATTGACGGCCATTATTCTGAAAAATTAGATCAACAAGCCAATTTTTTAAAAATTTTGAAGTTTCAAACGAACCGAATCGGAAGAGTCAATCGATCATTTGACAATGGGGCGAAAATGGCAAATGGAGCCACAAATAACGACAAGACAACGGCCTAGATAATAAGTTGAAAACTCAGTTTTTTGATCGAAATTTACCACATCAACTCCATAAAACACATAATCGCCGATCCGGAAAACAGTTTCCTCATTGAGTAGATCGGGTAGATCGTACCAGTTATCGGGAAGGAGGTAAGTGCGCCAGTAAAACAACACATCATAAATGCCTAAAGTGGGGTAAGCAACTGGTCTTTGATCGTCTGTGTATTACTAATACTAAACTCACTAATAGTCAGTAATAAGCTATCTACTAGTTATAAAAGAGAAGTGTCTGTTTGTCCGTTCGTCTGTCTGTACGCGCGAATCTTCCGTTTACATGACTTTTAGCTTGTTAGACTTAGAATTCTATGTAGTTGTACATCTCATATTTTGTTTTTTTAAAAGCAAAAGGCACGCCACAGCAGGGAATCGAATCCAGGTCGAAATGGCAAGCGCGCTACTCACTGCGGCAAAGTTAAAAAGGTGAAAATACCG